CTAACATCCTGGTACATGATTAACACTGGAAAAACTTTATGACTTTGAGTAAGTGCCAGGACAGATCATTTTTTTCCTGTGCCCACCTAAATGGAACCCTCCCATGTAAAGAGTTGTGATTTCACCTGATGACTGATCAGCAAAGACTTCCAGCCTCTGGTCAGAAGAGAAATGACAACAGCTTGCATATACAGGATATTTCTAAAATTCACAACTATTCAAGTTACCAGAGCTCCTCTTAGCTGAACACTTCTCTTTCTTAGCTGGCACTCAGCTTGCCACACTTGAGTTTATGACCAAAGCTCTTCTGTTGAGCTCGGAGATGCTCTGGGACAAGCAATTCTTTGCTGCTGCTTCAGAGAACCTAACCTAACCAAGTGCTCCACAGCTCTCATATCCTGTTCCATGTCTGTGAGATCTTCGGCTGGACAGGTCACTTCAAATACACAGGGCAGGAGATGGCGAGATGAAGGCTTGGCATAGATTCCTACATTTGATCCTCCTCCACCTTAGCTGGCACCAGCACTGTCAGCCTGCCTGGCTCTTCACTGCATCAACTTGCATCTGCTGAAAGCATCAGTACATTCACATCAGTCTATTTACCCCTTTACAGACATGCCTTTCCCCTACGTACGTACCCTTAAGGCTGCCTGACCCATACACCCCAAAAATCTCGAGGCGACGTCGGTGATAGACGTACATATCATTTCAAAAAATTAAATCGCCTACGTAAGTACCTGTGGTTAGTTCAGTTAGTCATTCTTGCTCTGAAGGAAACAAGCCAAAGACCCTACTGCTTTCCTAGAAACTTCAGCAAGGAAAAAATACCAAAAGTTGTCCACGCAGCAAATTTTTGCAAATAGAATACATTTCTCCTAGGAGTGCTGTCATTCACTACTGCTTCCATTACCCAATAACTGTAACCAGCTGAAGCACTATTCTAGACGATTGCTATATAAGCAAAACTGACCCCAAAAAAATCTACTAAAAAGCTACTAATGGGTTTGCTCGTTCTCAATGCAATTGGTCAAGGATTACTGAAAGTACAACATTCCTGAAGCTCTGCAGAGGTACAGAAACATTTTCAGTGGCTGCTCAATTCAATTTTAAATGGCCGAGTAGCAGGACTCACCCCAGCCCAGAGACTAATGCAGTAATTGTCAAAACATCAGTAACTCCACTGTTTGCACATATAAACTGGCAAATGCATTTAGACAATATTGAAATTGAAACACAACCTCCGGATATTCACGCCTGCTTGCAGAGAGGACCCTTCCTATCTCATTGTTGCAATTCAGCAGTTTTCCACAGGGCTCAAGTTCCCGCTGAAAGCAATCTAACATTTGGGTATTTCCTTACGCTTTTGACTGTCCTTGTTCATTGCAGTTTCTTAGCTGCACGCTTTAGTAGTATGACACCTTAAAACCTTTAAAAATAAAAATAAAAAATAGCTACTTGTATTCACAAAGAACAGGAGGAAAAAAAAAAAAAAGTGAAATCCAGTGGAGCTGAAACCTTGTGGCTACAGGATTACCATTACTAACTCCTGGATACCAATGGAGTGCCAATAGAGGGCTGAGAAGCTGCTTCCAGCAGGACCTCACCTTGTTTCCAGTTGGTACTTAGCGGAAGATGACATTGAAATACTGTCCTTTTGTCTCTCTTATGTAAGCAGCTGGGGCAATTACTTTTATGGAATAGTTTTTCTAGCTGTCTCAGAGGCTCAGTTCCACTTCTTTTCAGAAACAGCAAGATTGAAAAAGCCATGTGTAAAGCACATAGCACCTGAGTACATTCTAGACCATTTTGTGCAGTCATTTTGATGGCACACCCCTCCCTTCTTGCCCGGCAAGCTCTCAGGAGACAGTGCTGGCTTTGTTTTATGCTGAGGAATAGACAGCAATTTTGACCGAATCTAACACCGATATGACAAAGGAAGAAAGAAATCCTGAAGGTCTTTGCTGACTGCCAACATTTTTATGGGTACAAGCCCTGAGGAACACGCTCAGCAGCCATGGACTCCACGGGAATGCTCAGTTCTGTGGGGAAATTACACATCTGCCTCGTGGTCTGATGTAGCCTGACGTGGTTTTTGTGTGTTTGTTGTTGTTTGTTTAGAAAGGTACAGGGCCTTGGTTATTAATAAACATGATGCTTTATGTCCGAGTTCACCGTGACGTTTGTTGTTTACCCAGAGAGACACAACCCTGGAAGTTAATTTTATTTGCAAATTTGAAGTCTGATTTTACAGATTTATTTTTTAACTCTGAAAACTGGCATCGTTAGAGCAAAGAGGGGCCATTTCATCAACTACATCCAGAGAAATCAGCAAATACTTAATGCATAATTGTTCTACCCTCTCTGCTGCAAGGCTCCCTTGAACATAACACCATGTGAGCAAGTGACATCAGAAGCATTTTTATCACCACTTACCCAATGCATTCTTATCTGCTTAAGGCAGATTCCAACTAGGACACGCTTTGCTCATTAAAAACCAGAGACCTTCCAATACATCGGTTAACTCTGAGCTGCCTAGTAGCTGGGAAAGTAGCAAGGAAACCAGGGAATTCATAAGGGAAAAGAACTTTGCCTACTGCTTCACTTAAGAGCATGCTGTTCCCTTCCATTAAGCCAAATGGAGGCTGCTGAGTGGAGAAAAAGCAGCCTGTGTCTTGTGCAAGAAAACAGAGTCGGAACAGTGATGCCTCTGGAAAGTGTTCCTGCAAACTACTCCAGAGATTTTTGCCTCTTTAAAGTTGTAAGGAGATCGCCATGCACAAGAGCCAACAACTTGGAGAGCAAAAACGCACTCCAGCAATGGCAATTCAAGCTAAATGAGCTTGTGCAATTTTTGGTTATATTCACTATATGAAAGGCTTCACAGATAAGAGCCTGTCTTGTGAATCCATTCTCAGCAAGGAAAATGACACTGTTGCATTTAAACAAAGAAGAAAACAAATAAATTCAATGTCAGTTTGTTTAAACAAGTGTACTATTAAAAGTTTTCATACCACTTCATCAACATAAATCTAAACAAGACAGAAACCTCAGCTCATAATGCATTATGACGTATGCATTATAACACACATAACCCTTTCCACACAGCAAACTGGCAAAAGACACCTCCAGCCTCTGTCTGGAAATGTCTCGGTCACAAATGGCTCAACACCACCCCCTCTGAGTCTGCCTTGACTCACTGTGAAGGAGAAGTGCGTATTCTGCAATTTCATTATTCCTTACCCTCTCTGGGGCTCTACGTACAATTAAACTTCTGCTGCAATCTCTCTTCTCCATATAAAAAGCAAAGATGGAATAGCCAGATTAGAACTCCTTGCCTGCTCTCCACTACTTTTATCCCATTACCACTAAGAAATATAAGAAATTTAGCAAAGAAATGCCAAAGCCAAAGCTGTATTCCTTCTGAGTAAAGCTTCTAGAGATCTGAAAATCTCCCTCACACTGCAAACTTCTGCCAGGAACGTCATTTAGCAATGCAGTTAAGACAAAACTGCATTGGAAAAGGTAGAATTAATGCTTAAATTGACCAACTAATCCCCCTGAGATACCAAGGAAGAATGTCTACCTGTTCCAAAATATTTAAGCACAAAGGGAAGCTGATATTAGTAGTTCTCATCAATCAAAATGTTTCCTGCATTACCCCCTTAGTGCATTTCAGCCTGAAACCCAAGTTAAGGACTCCTGCTCTTGTGCAGACCCAAGGGTAGCCAACTTCTATATCTGATGTCTTTGCTGATGTCTGTTTTAAGGCTTTTAAGGCACCGACCTCTTTTCTACCAGGCTCATAGGAGCACAACACAGACATGCTAAAGTGGTGGAGGGATTTATGTCAACTTGCATTCGAAGAAAAAAATCTGATCATATAAAAAAGGATGGCTAGTAAAAATACTAATTTTACTGGAAGCAATATAAAATATTTTAAGTCAAGAGCAAATTGAAGTTCAGGTCTGTTATTCCAGGCAAAAATTAACAGATAATCTGAAAGAGAATACTGATCACGCAGGCTTCCCCCACCCCCTGCGCAAAGGATCTGATCTCCTATAAAATCTACAAATAGAAATAAGTATTAAAATGGGCATCTGCCAAGGCTCACGTAATGGAGATTAAAAATATATATCTATTTTTTTCAACAAATACTCCTTACACTAAAATGCAGAACAGAATAAAGAACATTGAATTCAGAATAAAAATTCCAGAGCCATTTGACAGGCTAATACAAATACAGATTTGCAATCCAAAGAAAATGGACGATGGCCTTACATTGCTAGCTCCTGAAAGGGGAACAGAAACAATGGGTAGAGCTGTTTTTAAAACAGAAAACTTATTGGCAAGGACTCTCTACTTGCATTTCTGGAGATTAAAACAACATCTGGAACACCCTTGAAGCAAGAAGCCTCTTCTTCCCCCCCCCCCCCCCCCCCGTCCCCTGTCCCTCACTGAGCTCCCCCCTTTTAGCATCTGATCCTGCTGCAGAAGTGGATGGTAAAGCAGTGCCAGTGACTTTCACCTGTTGTGTCCTGGTCATGTTTAAAAATAAGAAAATATAAAAGTTGGAGGAAGCTTTCTTCGGAACACCCCACGAGTCAAAGTATAACAGAGCTCTCTAATGCAAGTATTCAATTACGTTTATAGTATGTCTTAAACAGGAGAAAATTACTACTGAAACTTTTTGTTTTTATGTGTTCTTACAGCTGCCTGTAGTGCTGTGGCTAAGGTTAACGTATTAAAACTAAAAAAGAAAAAAGAGTCACCTTACACACAAACCAACCAGCAACAGCACCTTCCATTCATAGCAGAATGAACTCATCCTCCAAGCAAAACCACAAGAATAAAAACACAAAATGCCTTAAGGAAGGCTGAATGACTGGCATGCACAGGCTGGAATAAACCCACTCACATTTCAACCTGACAGAGCCTCAAATACTCTCAAACAACTGGCTCCAACGACTGCGTGCACGCTCTCTGAAGGACATGCTACTTACTGCTGAATCCTGCAAAAAATCCACTTGTCTGCCTTTACACAAAGGAGGAGGAATTGAAGGCACAGATGTAGCAGAAGGGCTCAAACAAAGTCTTCTCAAAGTGGTTAGTAATAACTCCTGAAGCACTCTTTAGCCAAAAATTTTCATAATTCTTGTTTTAGAGAAGTTTCTTACTTCAGCTAAGGCTCCTTCCCAAAGGACTTAACACTCACCGCTAAGAAAACAGAAAAGTGACTTCACAAAGTTACCAAATATCAACACACAAGGCTGGCAAGTGCATGTGCAGTCAAGATGATTCAGATAAGTCAGATAAATTTAGAACAGCGCTTTCCTAAAAGCATGCGTTCACCAAATGCAGCAAATATGCAGGAGCTATATTCCAAGGGCTGATTCCAGACATTAGAGCAAAAAATTTATTAGGGAAAATCTCCTTTTAAGAGTTCGCTGCGATCCGAAGTCCTCAACAATGTTACTCCTCGATCTGCCTTTAGTACTTCCATCCATCCCTGGATTTATCCACAGAAAAAGCTATAGGCTCTCCAAGCTCAGAGGGACTAAGCCAAATGCAGTGTGGCAACTTCACATAGGACCAACCTTTTATGGTTGGAACAGTAGAGCTTTGATACAGCTAATCTACCATAAATAGCTCTTGAAACTCAGAAGGATCAAATCAGCTGTTTGCAACAGTCCCAGCCTGGAGCTGCTTCCAATCCAATTAGATTGTCAACTCTACCTTCCAGCTTTCCTTTTTATTTGGTCCTTTTTATTGCCCCACGACTTTTCGAGTCCTGCTCCTGCAAGAAGCTAAACGCTGCACAGACAAATGCAGCAGAATAAAACGTGTTTAATAAAAACTGAAACAAATGAGTAAGTGCACTTGCAATTATCTCAAGGAGCAGAAGTTTTAAAACAGCCTGAGCATTCGATGCCTTTTTTTAAAATCAGCCCTGACTTGTAATGCCAACTTGCAATTCAAAATAAGTAAATGGCTCTGAGAGCAGTCTGCTCGCTTTAAAAGGCTGGTTAAAAAAAAAAAAAAAAAAAAAAAAAAAAAAAAAAAGATAAAACTTCATGGAGCACTATCGGTCTCCCAGATTAAGGCACTGAATTGCTTGCTTATTTTTTCTGTAACTTAGACACAATTGCAAAGCACTAGAACTCACTGTTAGGAATTTTTATATTACAGTGTTTCCTTTCTGGTATTTAGAACCATTTTCCCATAAAGAAACTCTAATTCAAGAATTCTTAAATAACCGGGAGCTTCCAAAATGCACGTTTGCTACCGACACAAGCCAACAGATCTCCGAAAACCACCACATGGACTCCTAGAGCACGGTGACTGCCGAGAAATTAGTGCAGGGCCACTGCTGTGAAAGAGGATACCCGTTCGGACCCCGCGAAGCACAGATGAGCAGCATTATCTTTACGGTTCACTTCACAGTGCAAAGGAACAGCACACAAGCATGTAAGCGTACATAAACAAAAGATGTATTTTTAACTATGTATTATTAACGTCTCCCCACTAACTCTTTCCAAAACAAAGAGTTAAATTACCCCGGCACAGTGCAGGAACTCCAGCACTCCAAAGGGAGATGTGTCTTGGCTCTACGGCCTGAATCCATACCTCCTGCGACCACTGACACCCTGAACATTGCCAGAGCACCCTCCTGTAATACCAGGCATGATATCTAGCATTTAAACATCGCTTCTTCTTGCACAAGACAGGGAGAAGAGCATTTCTCATTCCCCGTATTCAAACTGCTTCAAGAAGGGCCTGGAATTCAGCTCCTCTGGAGGCCACTCTAATCAAAAGGACAAAAAAAAATCCACCATGGGAAATTCTGTGTCCCTTTGTCAACTACCTGCCACCCTGCTCCTCTCTGAGCTGGTGTTAAATGTTATCACCTCAATTAAAGGACCTGGGGTTTAACTGCTGTGCAAAGTACGTAACACACACTGAACGCAGGAGGAGCCCCTGCTTTCCATCTTGCCTGCACGGATGATGGATGACGAAGTAACTTCAATTAAGCGTGGGTGGGTTAAATGAAGAGGCTTGTGTTTTGCTCTAACTGTGCATGAAGAACCCAGCTGTGTCACTTTTTAGAAGTGTCAGAAAAGTCAAAGAGTTGGAACTGGGCACAGAGGGCTGCCCTTTAGGCCCTACTAAATGCCCAACCAAATGAATTCAGATGCACAGGGGACAGCGAGCTTTTCATTAGCGTGGAGCAAACCGAGCATGTGACAAGTAGATTAAACAGACCTGCAAGATCTGCCTGAATAAGTTTATCACTTTGAATGCCGCCTGTAGAACTTGTCACATTGTGCTTGCTCTGCACAGTGGTGAAAAAAAGTAGCCAAACCCATTGCTGACAAAAATTCAATGGAGCTCGTAGAATGCAGCAAGCATGCCTGCAAGTGCTAAAGAGAAAGAGCAGTCGTGAGCACGCTGCCAGAGCACAAGTGCTGGCGCTTCGTGCCCTATCCATAACCATTTCAAATCTTAGGTCTTTTATTACTGAGGAATTTGAAGGATGTGAGTTATGACATGGGAACACACCCCCTCTCAAGGAGCAGGACTGGGATTCCTTGTTTCTTTCATACAAACCACTCCACATCTTACTGCTCACGTCCATTCTCCCTATCACACAGGGCGCTATCATAAAGATTCCACTTTTGCAGCTAATTTAAAAAAAACAACTACGTATGCTCTTTTCACACACACTTCCTTGGCTACAAACTCACAGAACAGAACTGACTGTCATGGGAACGCAGCGTTTTCTTCCTCTTCCTCTCCAGTACAAAATTTCTCTAAGCAGAGCAGAAGAAGCCACATCCAATATATTAAATCACCTCTAGCTCTTCAGAGCAAGCGTGAGATCTGGCTTGTACTGTACAAAGAGTATCGCATCTTTTATCAAAAAAAAAAAAAAAAAAAGAGACGCCATGCCCTTCTAGGCCACAGGTTCTGCCTCAGTAAAGACAAAAGCACACATGAACAGACACAACTTTGGTACCATGGTCTTGCTTTGCAAGATAGTAACAGTCAAGACAAAACACACAGTAGAGTGCACACGGTTTGAAAAGTCTGAAGTGAGCCAGCATGCATTCATTTAACATTTCAGCTTCCCTGTTTACAGATATCTTCTCTTCAGCAGGGGTCGGGAGGGAAGGGCAAAACTTCCCAGAAAAATCAGATTTAATAACGAGTGACTTACCAGCATCCATTGTCAGAATCATGACCCCACTTCTGTGTCCCAGGAAGCAGGAAGCCTTACCCATCCAGTGCTTGCGAATGACTCAGAAGGACAGCATGGCTTTGTTTCAGCTTATATCTTCCAACTCATTCACCCCTCCTCCCTCTTGTGGGATAAAAGTGTTGCCTGTGCCTGACCACCCCCATTGGCTCCGTTCGGGAGCCACTCATTCAGCACACTCAAGTTGCTGTGAGAGCCTAAAATCAGCCATAGAGAAATTCTTCCTGATTTTTTTTTTTTAAACCCAGCCCCCTTTTTGTACTTCTGGGAGAACAAACCGTTCATTGTTTCGCTATCAGACACACGCTACAGCTGGTGGTGTTGTCACAGGGCCAAGAAATTGCCCGTGCTCGGAATCGATGAGGAGGTGGCCAGCTGGGGAGGGCTAGCATCAGCCATCCCCAACGCCAGGCACTGCCTGCCCGTGGAGGTAACACCTTGTGCCTTGTGTCAAAGCCTACACCCTCCAGCTCCTCTTCAGTGCATCTATATACAACCCACAAACTGAAGATCTTGTGGTTTGCCAGGGAGCATTTACTCTTCCATTTTATTTTTAAATAGGTAGAATGGCAAAGGGCTGCTGCCGCACACCTCGACTCCACACGTGAAACTGCAGTGAGGAAAGTCCTCTTTTTCTTTTCTGTCTTTTAAATCTGAAGGGTTTTCTGAACGTAATAGCTGGCACGAGCTAGGCTCTGCCCAAGGAATTTGGAAAGCTGCTACAAGCTATTTGTGAACCACCACCCCAGTCAGATAATACAGCGTCAAAAAAAACCTCGCCACAATGCAAGTGAAACTCTATCTGATCAAAAGACATCTCAATCCTTTGTTAATTTCAATCAAACGGTAAGACAGCCTAAAAAGCATGCACTTGGAGGGAGAGAAGGTAGAGGGCATTTGTTCCTTTCCGTCCAATGCAATCCTCAAGAACTTCCAGTGTGACTCTGGGAGGCGAGCGCCTGCATCTCACAGTGCGAACTGCTGACAGACGCGCTATCTGTGCCTGGAGCTTCAACACACACAGTGAATGAAACGCTGGCGTTCTTCATCTTCTGATAAGAACTACCTTGGCTAAATAAAGCATGGACATATTAGGCTGCCATCTCGCCACGTTAGTCACCGCTAGATAACCTAAGATTCATAACTCCGCGATACGGCCACGGGTGTATTTTGGAAGTGTTGCTTGTGCTTGTTGAAATAAACAGAGCTTCCTCGCCTCCCATCCTCCATTTTTAGAAAAGGTATCAGTTGCAAGTCTCATACGCTAACGTTTGCAAAGGCACTAACGAAGTTCGAATCCACCATTCGAAGAAATTAGCAGAAGCAGTATATTTACAGCATCACTTCTCAGATTTCTTGACCTTCTCTTGCTCCACATGACTTTACACCAACATCTTGAGTCATTGCAGTTTGAGGGAAGCAAAATATTCCTTAAACCAAAAATTTCTGACATTTTCAGTAGGACACTGTGACAAAAGCATTGGAAAGAGGTAGGGGCAATTCAGATTCTAGAAACACAAGTTTTCAGTGAATGGAGATCAGGTGGACACACTGCTCCTCAAAAACTTCCTACAAGGTTTTTGCTTTCAGAAGGGCTGTTAAACAGAATCAACTAGTGGTTTCATCCAAAGTTTACAACTCTCAAGTTGCCAAGATGCTATTTCGTTGACCATAATCAATAGCTAAGTGCATTTGTCACCTACCCAAGCCACGTGCAGAGATGCACATTAAACTTCTGGGAATGATGCAGGGCATAGCTTACTTCCTTACCAGTAGTCATCCATTTGAAGAGGGATGCAGCAGTATGGAAGATGCTTTTGCACTCTCTATCTACCCCATACTTTTTCACTTGGCATCATCTTTATTAAAAATTCACAACAATCTGGACAAACAACAACAAAACATGATAACAAAAATCAGAGCTTTGAGTATTGCACTTCAAGCTGTGCAGTCCCAAAGCATGAGGGGATCTAGGTAGAAGATAACCAAAGACCAGTCCTTACCAACAAGGTAGAAAACAACCAGTGAGAACCCCGCACCCTGCACTAGGTACCAAGCTAACCCAACAATAACACGTTCATCCTCAAGCAAACTGAGCGTGATTAATAATCACTGCCAGAAACTGCTCCAGTCACCAAATGCACACATTTCGAAAATACTAGCATACACTGTACAGAGTGAACCACTCTCAAGAGGATGATCTTCGTTGTATGCTTGGCTTTTGCAAAAAGTCCAATACTACTGCTCTGCAGCAGTAAATCACAAAAGTTCAAAGTATTCTCAAATCAGAAAGAAGATTAAAAAAAATCT